TACTTCGATTTAGAAGATTGACTCGCTCGGAAAGCGAAATTCCAATCTAAAATCCATTTTTACAAGTTATATATAGATTCGAGGAGATATACGATTGTTTGACAGACTGCTAAAACAAAGAACGGAACGCGTACCCACACGGCATACAAATGAAACGCTACGAGGCGAAAGAAATCAGAATAAAGATGAAGCAAGGTGAGACGAAAAGAAGCGTGAGATAGGTCGTTCCGGCGCGGGAATTGCTCTTCAGCGCGTTACTGCCGGGACCATCTAGAGAGCTCGACAAACACTCGATGCACCTCGCACAATTCTCTCTGAAAACACGACTGCCATTGTTGCCATGTCATCTCTTTGGTCCACGGGCCATTGTCCTTCGCGTTGCATCGATCGCGTCTCGGGATTTCGATAGTTCTCCGCGGGCGATTAATCGCGACAAAAGCGTCGATCGAGCGAAGACAAAGTATAGCGGAAAGAAAAGAGAGCAGCGAGAACTTGCGAATAAAAATCCATCGAAAAACGAGAAACAGTACATTTCGGCGTAGCGATCTTAAAAATACATAAAAGGACACCACGCTGTTTGCGCGCCGCAGCGCGATTTCTCACTGTCTGAGAATTTAAATCCTCGGCGATCGGCGAAATCGATAAAAGAGCGCGCGGACGACGCCGACGTCGAGCGTGTAGGCGTCGCGGGGTTACCCCGCCGAGGCGGAAGTCGCTTCCTTGGAAGATCAGCTGACGCCTGGGCGGTTCGTTTTGTGAGCGCGGTGAATGGAACATCGGGGCCCACTCACCGGGGGCCGCTCGAACACGGTCGGCATGCGGACGGGGGACGCCGGCAAGAAGGCGGAGGGTGGTGGATCGCGCGAGAGAGGAGAGAGGGCAGAGCAACGAGCACGTTAAAACAAGAAGATTGGAATAAAAGGTTGGCCTGGACCGCGCGGGAAGGTAAAGCCGCGGCGAGCCGGAGGTGGAGAAGGAACGGAGAAGAAACCGGTGGGGGCGGGGCTCAGTCTGCCGCGGATGCTGGTATGGAGCCCGATCCCGCTTCGCACACCATCTTCCTTCATCTCGGGACCCAACCCCCTTTCGTGGCGGTACGTGGCCCATCTTCGGGTTCCTCTGCTCCCGCCGTTTCTTCTACTTCAACGTGCTTCTCCTCTTCATCTTCCTTCATTCTCCTTCTTCATCTCTCCCTCCTCCCCGTCTACCATCTGCTCCTTGACCTCCTCACCCTCGGTCAGCGTCTCCAACTGTTCGGCAACACTCCGACGTCGTTTGTCTCGACGTCCACCACTCCTTTGTTCTCGACGATGGCAGGACAATTTCGTGAACGTTACCCGCAATTTAACGAGCCGTAACGTGTGCAGCGTGGGCAATTAGTACCGCGCTGAGCAGGCAAATTAATATTGCCTTAATGTCGCTACGTTGATTACACACTACGGAACGCGCGCGCGCGCGAACAGAATCGCGAACGCGCGAGAGTTAACACGGCTTTACCGAGCCGTTTAAGCGATAAGATACGCGATATGTAAACGAGGTGTAAGAGCGACAAGCGCTCCGTAATTAGTGGCTATCGAGGCGAGTGATGAAGCGGAGATAAAATAACGCAAGCGGAACGCAGCATCCTTCACGCATCGCGGCACCATCATTTTCTCGCGACTGGTTTCTCGGCTACCGGCCGTCCCCGCTAATCGTGACACATCGCGTGTTTTCACGCGAAATTTTATTCGTAATAACAACAATTACTACGCTTATAACAATTAATTCGGTCTGTCAAATTTCATGAATGAAGCATAGATCAATTGGTAAAACGATGAAAGAAGATTGTTGAGAGACAATTATATTGATGATCAACTTCATCTTTTGTATATTTATTTCCGCCATAAAATTTATTTTTAAAAAATACGCAAAGATATTTTTAGCGATCCGATATTTTAATGAACACCATTGTACTCGCTACGTGTAGAAATAAAATTTCCTAATGTGTCACTGCTCTTTTCCCCAATTAGATCGATAACGTTGAAGACTAGTACAATAGGCTTGTCAAGCGGTATCCCATATAATAATGCGTGCTTAAAACGATTTTCGAGAAACTTTCATTCTTTACACCTTCGAAGCAGAATGAGATCGGTCCGATTCCATTAAGATTCTTTCCGTGAACCGAAACTGCGGCCTCCCTTTTGCCGTTTCACACGCGCAGTTGTTTCGTGGGACGTTTACGCGCGTACAATCTCTCTTGAGCCCGACTTTTTTTCGGCTTCTGCCGGCAGAAACACCCCCCGCCTGCAGCGTAACACTCCTTGTCCCTAATGTATTACGGGCCAGGCCATTTTTTACTTGAAATGGATTTTCATAAGACCCGACATTCTCAGCTTTGGTCAGCCGCGAGCGCGCGCGCTCTTTCTCATTCCATCGTATCCTCCATCTCCTCAACTCCGCCAAAATATTTGTAAATAGATGTAAAGTCTGGGAGGGGCTCAGGGGGTATCCCGCTGCGCGAACAAGGCTCCCCATAGCGAACTACGGCCGATATATCTCCCGGGCCCTTCACCATTCTTCTCCCTCTTTATATGAGACTCCTTCGCAGCCTTTTATACCTCCCCCTCCTCCGCGGTCTCTTCCTCCTCTTCTTCTTCTTCCTCTCGACTCCATCGTCATTCTCATGCTCTATTACTTCGGTTCTCATCATGCATCGCGCAGCGCATTGGCTACACACGAAAGCCAAAGGCGCATGAGAAACTTTCGAGAATCGATTTCTGATCGTTGCGCGAGGTATGCATATCCCGATATTTCGTGACAGGTGAAATCGGAATACGCATCCCGACATAAAACTCTGCCTTTATAATCCGTTTAACAATGCCCTTAAATAGAGATAATCTAAATATCTCTGTCTAATCTGCATAAAATGATCGATTCATTTCTAAATCGGCTTTCCTAAGCGAAGTATGATCCTTCGCTCTCACGCGTCGAGAGTGACGGCAAATCAATCGACAGTTAGCCACGCTGCCACGTAAGAATTCGGCTATAAATTTTGCAAGATATATTATGCATGATAGAATTAGGCCGCTTATTGAGCGCACGGCTTTGAATATGTCTCGCGAACAGAAGTTTATTTAGAGCGGCGTATACCCCCGGCGACTTTAATGGAAATTCATCCGACAGCCGATGGGCGTGCGATTCGCGTGCACGTGGCGTGAAGGTTTTCACTCGGCGAGAATCCGAAGTCGAACAGCGAGAAAGTAAAAAGAAGACGAAGAGGAGGAGAGAAGGGAAGGTGAGACCGGTCCCTCGAGGGCCGTCGTCTGCAGTCAATAGGAGCTAATTGCCGCAAGGAAAGCTGCGAATTCGTGGACATTGTTAGCTCCGGTTTCATTCTCGGTCAGTGTCGAACGGGTCTCTCATTGTGGCCGCGGATCCGCGAGCCGCTTCGTGTCCGACACTGAGGTTCACGAGAAGGGGTGAGACGCGAGTGTGCAAAATTCGTCGCGGTCGCAACGCGCTCTCTCGCGATCGGTAGGACAAATTCCTCACACGACTGAATCCCCCTCTTTCGCAAAAGTCGATCGAGCCCCCCCCCCTCCCCAAAATTACCTTCTTCCGCGCGCTCGGCCGGGAATAAAAAGAATAAAAAAGCGCAGGGATGCCCGCGGCAAGAGAGCTCGCAGTCGATTCACAAGCCGAGCGCGTTCACGCGCGAGCGGTCTATGCCCGGTCATCCGCATGATACAGCCCTGCGTGGGCGATTGCCCTCTGAGAATCGATTTGAACATAAGGGCCCCGGATGCCTCGAATGCCCCCCGACAATGCCGCGGCTTCGGTCAATGGAGATTCTTCCTTGCGTTTTAGCTTCTCGCGCCCTCGATACGCCGCGTTCCGGATTAAGTCCGGGGTTTACACGGGTCCGATGCCGCTGCGGCCCCCGTCTCTCTCTCTCTCTCTCTCACCGAGTCTTCGAACTATCCGGACTTCGTTACGAGAACGCTATTGACCCGGCTGCCGTCGTTGGGTTGCAGGTAGACAATAAGAGAGAGAAGTGACTTCGGATAAGAAAGAGAGGAAGAAGATCGTGCAGCGTGACCGAATGATCCTTGACATCGGCCGTATTTATATTTCTGTTTGCCCGCTGATTCGTCATGGACTGAGCCCATTTGAAGTCTCTTAAAGATCCTAGAGTCCCAGCGACCTCGTGACCGGTCAAAATACGCATTCGTATGCCCTCACGATAATTCCTGCGGCGATCGACCGTCGTTCTAACCTGGACGCCACTGGTAACGATGTAAGCCCTCTTTTTTCCGCGCGCGCACCGTGAAATCGACTAAATTCCCGACCGGATTCTTTCGCGCGATATTTTCTAACGCGATGGAAATCGTGTTAAGCGGAACTTGTTGGAAAAGCGAATTGTGATGTCTTTCGTTGAGAAAAACGCGACAGCCAGCTCTGAAATTCTCGTCTCATACACGAAGAAAATTTTATATCAAAAATTACGATGTACAGCAATAGCTGCAGACCATGAAAAAAATTATAAATTTTTACTATTTTTTTCACATAATGGCCATAGTATTTAAACTTATAATTCCTCTTATCGTCCGCGGCTACTGCCGAAACATAATAATTTTTGATAATAAATTTTCCCCGTATAAGTAAATCTTATTCGAATTCTAAACTTCTCCAAAGATTGAAAATAAATTACAGAAAATATGCAAATTTAGGCTATACTTGTTATTTTAAATGTTTAAAAATATACTAATCGAACTGTAATCGAGATATACTTTGGAAACAAATGTAGACAATGCGAGATAAAAATGTTCGTTATTGTCTATCACTGAGCAATTAAAATATTGAACATATAGTCTAATTTTTAATATTGCTTTAACTCCTACTTATCTTTGAAAAATAAAGGCTATGAATTTGGCTTCTTCGTAACCCCTCAAGTAGATTAATTTCATTACAGCCTATCGATCTGTGATCAAACCAATGATCAGGAACATACTATGTTACAGAGGTGCAAGGAAAAACTTAACACTCTGGCGGTTTCGGTGATGAACCAATGGCCAGGGGTGAAGCTAAGAGTAACCGAGGGCTGGGATGAGGAGGGCAAACACGCGGTGGATTCCCTGCACTACGAGGGACGAGCCGTCGATGTGACGACAAGCGATCGAAATAATGCCAAGTACGGAATGTTGGCGAGGCTCGCAGTTGAGGCTGGTTTCGATTGGGTCTACTACGAATCCCGATCGCACATCCACTGCTCCGTTAAATCTGGTCAGTAATTTCCATCATGCCACTTTCAAAATATATTACCAAATAAATCCACGAGAGATACACACGAACTGCAGTTTAATTGAATCGTCTTAAATTGCTTGTAAAAATTGCTACAAGAATTAAAAGCGATCAATTGTTGGACTGTATGTAAATTTTAATTGCAGTCATTTCTCCCGTTAATACCCGCATAAACCCCGATTACACTGCGTCAATAAAGATGAGCGTATAAACTACCAGGTAGTAGTTGTAACGATGTCGTTTAATGCAAATAAAGATGCTGACGTCGGTGCAGTTGTAATAACGTCGTTTAATGGAACAGAGATGAAGTCATTCTTAGTTACGAGTGATAAAGCGTTGAGTACAGATATTATTTATATGGTAACATAAAATCATTGTCCATCTGATAAGAATAATCACACTTTTATATATATGTATAATATACCGATTTAGCTATTAGATAAAAATTAATTTTCCCAAACAAAAATTTCAAAAAATTGTAAATTTTGAAAGTTACATAAATAGTTTATACGCTTTATTATATGTCAAATTTATAAGAAGATGTGGAAAAATATTTTCAGATATGACCAAAAAAATGACTTCTACTGAATTTCAATATTTTCAAAATCAATTTTTTGAATCAGAATTAAAACTAAAGTGTAATGTGTGTTAGTAAAAAAGTGAAAAAGTTCTTAAACACACAAAACTTGTTACATATACCGATCGGCATGTCACACTTTTCGCTGCAGCATTTCTCTTTTGATCCAGCACATTTACTTGCATGAGCAATCAGCGGTTCGTGTTCGTTTCGGGCCACGGCTGGGTTTCGAATTTCAAAATAAATGCTAATAAATCAAGGCATGCCTGTCGGACCAAATTAAAACCGAGCATAAAAATCGGCGCGAAATCGATACGAGTCGATGCTTAAGAGAAGGGCAAACAATGGGGAAAAAGGGAACCGAAGTGTGACAAAAAGTGTGAATGTGATCGAGACGAGCATCGCGATATTAACGCTTCGGCAATTTTTACCGTAATCAGCTGAAATGATCGCGAACACATTTAACGGGCGACAGTACCTACATATATCTTGCGTTATAATTTCCAGCGTAAAATTTTCATAAATTGTTTCATTTTCATAAAATATTTTGAAAAAAATTATATGTGCATGTACATCATTGTTGAAAATTTTTGTATAATTTTATATTAGATGTGCATATATATTTTTTGTTTTTTTAAATATATTTTAATATAATATTTTGCTTAGCTCCGTTAGAGTTTGAAAACCAACAAAGCAACGATTTCTTTTATATCTTCTTTGCTTTAGACTTATCCATTCTTCACCTTTGTGTATTTGTATTTATTCTACCTTTATATACATCCTACTTTCAGAATCGTCTTCAACGGGCTCGAAAGGCGGCTGTTTCCCCGGAAAGAGTCTGGTCATGACGGAGGATGGCAGCAGGAAGAGGCTGGACGAAGTGCAGCTCGGTGAGCGAATCGCCGCTCTAGATTCCCGTGGGGTCGTCGTGTTTAGCGAGGTGATCGCTTTCCTGGATCGTTCGTCATCCGAAAGGAGGCAGTTCATCCGTCTGACGACCAAGTCCGGCCGTGTGCTCACGTTAACGCCGGCACATCTGGTGCCGGTGGAAAGTCGGTCGATGGTGTTCGCCGCTAAAGTGCAAACCGGCGACAGGATTCTCGTGAGAGACAGCGTGACGGCGGAGGCGGAAAACGAAGTGGACGGCCAACACCGTCTACGATGGGACACCGTCGTCGACATGAAGCTGGTCCTCGAGGAGGGAGTGTACGCGCCGTTGACGATGGCGGGCACTCTCCTGGTGGACGACGTCGTGGCATCCTGCTACGCTCTCGTCGACAGTCAGTCGGTGGCGCATTACTCTTTCTTGCCGCTGAGGATCTGGTACAGTGTAACGAACTTCTTCCTACATAGGTTCGTTGACGATGACGCGCGACACTTTGATGTCAGACAGCAAAGACTGGGCAACAACACCGAGGACTTTCGGTCGGCGGAAACGACGCAGGAAGGCGTCAATTGGTACGCGACGATCCTCTATTCGCTCTCTTCCTACGTGCTGCCGTCGAAAATGCTTTACAATTAAAACTTCCCGGATCCGTGAAAGTTGTGAGCACATCGTGACAAGTGTCGAGTAAATTATCAAAGACTCAAGTATTCGACGCAAGTGATGTGTCCTGGAGACTTTTTGAAGTTTCGGAAATTTAGTGTTCTTTAATCATCAAAACGTTGTCGAGTCTCTTTCCCGAAAGAGAGAGTTTCTTATTTACGGATCGTGAATTACACGCGTGTCGTCAAAGACAGTAGCATCTAATCAAGGAGGACGACGGGGCTTCCATTGTGAAGGTGTATTTAAAGACGTCATTGTAAACGAGAGACATAAAATTGGCCAGTGACCTACCGTGTTCACCGAATGATATGTAGTATATTAGAGATCCGACGCGATAGAAATTAGGATACGAATTAGAAGTTGGTGAAAACAGAGCTTTAGGGAAAACCGGAACTATTCTTTTTTATAATTTAAGTGTACGTATGATGTACTGGTATATAATAGAAATATCTCTCCTGTTCCTTGCGGAAGAGCACTCGCAAATCCGCGCGTCTCCTCCGCATATTTGTGTTCGGAGCGTCTTAAAGAAGATTGCATCATGTTGTGAAAAGTATGTATGATAATGATCGCTGACTCTTTATCATATAACGTTAGCCCAATCAATTTTTTGATGTACATGCACACAACCAAGTAGTATAATAGATAAACATAATATTTAAACATTCATTGTTGAAATTATAATTAATTTAGATAAACGAAGAACTATGTTAATCTAAAGTGGGATCTACAACGCGCTTTTATGAAACGAAAATACTTGTATATAGCCCACTTCTTTTTCATTTCTCCCTCTTCATTTAACTATGAGAAGTGGACGTAATCTGCTTCGTTTTTTCATTCCATTAACACATTGCTTGTATCCATTATATATATTTAATGTTATTAACATAATTAATGATTTAAAATTGTAACTTTAGGTCTCAGTTTAGCGCTACATTTTTCTACACTCTTTTTTATTTAAAATAAAATAGATGTAGATTCAAATTTTCAAGGAAAAAAAAGAAAGTAACGTGCAGGAAGTGGAACAAGCAGATCTTATAGATATTTACCGTCACTATTGTTTATGGCCGTAACTATCACAAGTACCTTTTCGCTGTATAGTAGTGTTAAGTCGTATCGCGTTACTGTCTTCTATCATATTTTTAACTATGGCCAATTACAATTGACGCAAAAGTTAATTAATTATTTTAATAATATAAGAACTACTTCACTGAGAAACCTAAATTATCCTCATAATATTATATATTATATTATTATCTAATTATCTAATTATTATTTCAATTATATTATTATTAATAATATTATTATTATTATTTGTATATTGTCACGCACACACAAATTATAAATTATGTATATATAGCCGAAAAATTAAATTACATTATTAACGAAAACAAATTGTCGTATCTTGTTATTTTGACCCTGAGTGCTATAAATGTGGCATGTATTCAAAAAAATAAATTAAAAAATTCCAGTAAAAAAGTCTACCATTCTCTCGCTAATTGGGGAAAAAAATTAGTATGAAAATACCTAAAATTTTTCTACACAATTCAAATGGAAAGATCTACAGAAGCAACTTCATCTTTATGCTTCAATAAATCGAAACAAAATATAATTAACGCGAGAAATATCTTTGACGTTTCTTTGTTCTTAAAGGTTCTGTATCTAATGTCTGAATTTTTTTAGTTGTCCAACTTAAATTTTAAAAATAAATCTTTTTTTACGTAATACGCGTAGACGATCGTTTAGCATTCATTTCTGATGGCGGACGACGAAACGATAGGCGGAACGGAAGATGAGTTTGAAAACGTAAGTTTTTCGCAAAAAATATATTGGCTGCCTCATTTTTCACGAAGTAACTTTTTAGTTATTCGCTAATTTTTCATCAGCAAACAAAAATGGAAGACATAAAAGTGCCAATCGTATCTAATTTACCATTGTATTTAAATGTTATTTTATTACAGCCTGCTGGTGTTATATATCCGCATTTGCAAGAACTCGAAAAAAGATTCTTTGAAATAGTCGCCAGCGGAAGTGTCTCCGAAGTACGATTATTCTTAGAAGATCATCCAAATTTCAATATAAACGCCATGAATTTTCAAGTAAGTTCGTAAAACTTACTTTATAATTTGAAAAAAATGGTAATGCGTGATATTAATGTTAAAAAATATAGTTTGCTGCAATTTCTAATAAATCAAAAAGTTTATTCGCGTACCATAAAAAATACGCGCGCGTAACATCACTTTATAAATAATCATCTTTATAACTTATAAATGACAGCTACTTATAGAAGTTTCAGCGACAAATATCATTAGCAATAGAGAAACCTAAATTACATTTCAGTGGAATGCGGTTTCAATAAATTTTCAATAAATCACCATTCACCAGATTTATCCATTTTCTATCTCTAATTCGTTGAACGACCCACGTAGTCACACGAACGGCGCGCTTGAAACTAAACAGTTCTTAAACAGCTCATAAAGATTCCCAACTTTATCTTCCATTATCAGCTTTCCGTGGGTTTACTGTTATTTATGTGGAACGGAACAAAACGTACATGATAATGAAAGGCACGCATTTTCGAGATGTTCACGTTAATTTTATCAACTCTTTTTTCAAACTTAATCATGTTTATGATTTATGTAAGATGTTCCGTCACTTTTAAATTTATAGAGTTGCTTTTAGATTTGCAACAAAAAGAAAATCGAAAAAGATCAATTAAAATGCAAATAGTAAAGCAAGCAATATATCACCACCTTTAATACACCATTAAACATCATTGAAGTAATAATTTTTCTAAGAAAATTTTCGACATTTTTGTATAAATCATAAATACATTTTTTAACATAAACCGAAACACTTCGAGATTTGCAATCATGCAACGAGTTTACATGCTTTATGTGTACACAAAACGGCAGAACGGATATAGAAAAAGAAAGAAAACAAAACGAAGAGAAAATGAAAACGAATGTGAAGTCTAGTTATCTCAGATCTTCACTCTACAGAGGAACACGTACCCCCCGTGGAATGTTTCCTTCACTTCGGCCGACTCTATGGTCCACTCTATGTCCACCATTCTCGTCTGCTCGCGGTGTCCCTCTCTCATTGGGGTTTCAGAAAAGTAGCCAAAGCTTCGTTTGACTTTGAGACCGAAATGCCGAAGCGGCGCAAAGAGAGACGGCGCGTGAGTAGAAAAAGAGGAGGAGAGAGAAAAAGGAAGCCGAGTGAAAAGAATCATAGAGAGAGAGAGAGAGAGAGTGAGAGAAAGAAACTGGGTGTCCCCGTGTATCTCCGGCCATATTTCAAGCCGTCTTTTTACAAGACAATGGTTTCAACCAAGGCCTGATAAAAATTATTCAAATGACCCGCCGCGCTGTAAATTCCATACGAAAATCTCCTCGACATCGCGAGCTCTTTCACTCGGTGTGCTCGTGTGCACCGGTGCGTCGATGACGTATCGCGACGTATCGCATTCATTCAATAAACGTCTCCTACTAATTTAACTCTTGATAACCTAACGGTATTTCGAATCTCTTTAATTATAATTTCTTAACAATTTATTTTTTCATTAATTTTTATCTTTATAACATGCACTAATAAAACTTATCAATATCGATCTAAAATAAAAATTTAGATTGCGTAAGGAATAATTTATTGCTGTTACAATTTTAATCCATTTTAATCCGATAGTACGCACACTCCAATTATTTCCGCATTACATTTTCTATATCCTTTCTAATTTATGTATTTTAAGAAAATTTCACAAAAGACATACGTAAAGACAAATGACAAATAGATATTTAACCAAGCGTAAAATCTATAAAGCCGAGTCATGCGACTAGCCATTAGAAAAGCGGCAGCTGCCGATTGTCAAGGTACAGTCAAAAAGGGCTTTTACCGATCATATATCACGAAGTATTATCCTCGTCCGACGTGTAAATGTACACGGATACTCTCAGGGGCCTGTCGAAAAGCCAAAATATCATTGAATATTGTGACTGGTGGCGGCAACAACAATAGTGCCGGCCCATTGTTAGATCCGCTTCTGTAAACGCACCGCAGATGGGCGACAAACATCGTCGTCCCATTCTTCCAACAAAAAGGGACACGACCGAAAAAGAAGAGGAACCGATAGCGTTCCGAAAGTCGATCTCACCGCAGGAAGAGGCTGCAGACACTAGAAAGAAATTCCGGGAAAAGTCTAAAAGTGTAGTGATTTCGGTCAGTGTTTGATCGTAATCCTTTTAGGGCAGATCATTATTTCGCGTCTTTTTGTAATTATGGCAAACATGCCAACAGCGGAACAATACAAACGGCAACGAGTCGTTACGAGAATTCAACTCCACATTTTTGTACAATTTCTTTCTTTTAATTCACAAATTACGGAATTAACGTTATAAGTGACAAGTGATGTCAATTTGACGCTTCACTTGCAGGGTGTTAGTGCTCTCCATATCGCTGTCAGTGAGAGAAACACGGCGATGGTCGAGTATCTGTTATCTCACCCAGATATCGATCCGGGCGACACGCATCTGCACGCAATCCGGGATAATCAAACCAGAATCGCTATTCTAATACTGGACAAGCTAAATGAATTGACGCCGGGTCTCGAGTACGCCGGCGTCACTCACAGCCCTGATTTTCCGGACGATACAACTCCGCTTGCCGTAGCGGCACAATATGGACACTTTGAGATGATTGATATGCTCAGATTCCGACGTCATATTCTAGAGAAGCCCCACCCACCTAGTTGCAATTGCGACGAAGTTTGCAAGTACGACATTGTGTGCAAAGCAATAAATTTTAGCTAACAGACTCGACGATGAGTTTTCGTGAAACGACAAATTCGATGTTCTCAAATTTCATTTAAATAAGAGATATAATTTGCGCACGTGCCAGAATGCATATAACGTAAAGTTAGATCGGTAATTTTCGAATTTTTGTCATTTTGAAAAAGCTCATTATCGCATTCGAGCTTTCTTATACAATTAATATCGTACCGACCCTTTATATCGAGTATTAAATAGCCCAATTTTAAATAGCTTATTTCATTTTTATGTTTTTTATCTCTGTTTTTATCGTAGACCAGAAAGAGAAAAGGGTGATATTCTGAATATGGAGAAAATGAGATTATTTATGTATAGAGCAGTTTCGAATCCGGCATACATTTGTCAAACTGAGGACGATCCAATTCTACGAGCTTTCGAATTATCCACCGAACTTAGCAAAGAAGCTTCATTTGATAGAGAATTTTACCCCGATTACAAAGCACTGTCCAGCGTTAGTAAAATCTTATTTTTTCTACAAATTTCTTTCCTACGAATTTCGTAAATATTAATTATTATCAGTAAGACTGTTAATTTATTGTATAATAAAAATAATTAATAAGTAGTGAAAACTGTTAATTATCTGTGGTTAGTATCTTTTAGTGATACAAATTACAATGCATTATACGCGTTGTTTAAATATCATAAAAAGTCGATATTCTATCATTTTGTGATAGGAGGTGTCTCAATTCGCTACAGAATTAATCGGATGCGCTCGCAAAGCCGAAGAAGTCGAATGCGTATTAAGACAAATCGCTGGTTTTGGTCGTACCTCTAATTTCGCATATCCACGACTTTTGTTAGCTCTGGATTACAGACAAAAAACTTTCGTGGCTCATCCAAATGTGCAACAGGTAACAATATGACAATATTTAATTCAAGTGCCAGCCTTATTTAAAAAACTGTTATAATTAAGAGCAACCTATAAAAAATATATTTTTCCTTATAAAACAAAGTAATTGAAATTATTTGCTTATAAAACTTCCAATTTTAGTAACAACAGAAAAGGCTATTAGAACCAAATTTTGAAGCACAAAAGATATTATGAAAAGAGAAATGTTGGTACGTTTCTTTTTAATTGAGTTTTTTAATTTGCTCTTTTTTATAGTCTGATAATTTAATTAAAAACCTAAAATTTATATTTGCTGAAGATTGTATTTGTTAAGCAATCTTATGTTTAAAAAACAGAAAGAAGCAAGTCCAAAATTATTGAATTAATTAATACACACAATTGATCAAATAAAAAAATTTTAATTAATTTGTGGGCTGATTTACATTTCGAAAATAGCTAGTTTCATAAAAGTACAATTTTTAATCATGACGTCTGAATACTCTAAGGAGGGCACCTAAAGACATGGCAACCTGACTACCATACATAACGATGTCGAGACTATCACACGGTGCAAGCTTTGCACAAGCTCCTGAAGCTTTTGCTTCAACCCTCATCATGTTGAGGGACTTAACAATGGATTAAGTCTGACACAAAGGATGAATCAACCGCATTATATATATTGCAAATAACAAGAAATAAAATAGATTACAAGTACCTCCGTTCATTGCAAACACATCGGCCCACATGTGTTATATGTTCTAAATTGATTAAAATAATATTTTTGGACTTACTTTTCTCCGCTTTTCACACAGAATTTTTTGTCAATAAAAATAAATTGCAAACTATGACAAAAATTTTTCTGCAGATTAAAAAATTATATTTTATTTCTTCTTTTATTTTTAGCTCGTCGAGAACAAATGGATTGGCACTTGGCACGAGTGGAAAGTCAGAAGCACATGGCTAAAGTGCCTATCGGTAATTCCGCAAATTGTTATGCTACCATTAGTGGCATTTGTTATATTATTCGCGCCGAACTCGAAACAAGCAAAATTCTATGAAATCCCGATTAACAAGTTGCTTTCCTCCGTGGCGAACTACCTTATATTTCTTATATTTGTATTTTTGCAATCGCGTAGCGACAAAACGGAACAGCTTCGTGGACCGCCCAATACTGGTAAGCGTCTAATTTAATCTCCAATTAAAATTAAAGTTCACGCCAGTATTAAAATTAACCCGCCCCTTTTCAGGATATGAATGGATTCTCGCTATCTATGTAATATCGTACATAATTGCATTCATTCGATTGTGCATTGTAGACGGTCCGGTTAGATGCTTTAGAACACGTACAAACTGGTAAGCCGCGAACACTTAATCTCAAAGCTCGAGTTTCAATTTATTGAATATTTACAAACTAATTAATATTACGATCATATAATAAAAAAAAATATAAAATATATAATTCTTGCTATATAATGCAGGTATGAGCTCGTTATGCTCGTGCTGTTCATTCTGACGTTTCTATTTTGGATAGTTGCCGCGTTGGACGTTCGAATAAACGGTCAACGTGATTTAGAAAGAAAATACTGGTGGAAGTACGATCCGACTTTGATAGCAGAAGGGATTTTTTGCCTCGCGACGATCATGGCGTTTTTTAAACTATTATTTATCTGTCAGCTAGATTATAATCTGGGACCTTTGCAATTATCTTTAGTTAAAATGATCAGAGACGTCGGTCACTTTCTTGCAATATTCGGTATCATCGTACTGTCTTTCACAATTGGTAAGATACGCAACATGCATCGGATTATTGAAAAAATTTCTTTAAATTAACAACAAATTTATACGTTTTATTTAGTAATGCATAATATTTTTTAAATAATTCTAGAGTAAAAATTGTCGAGTTTTGTAGCTCTTTGAATTAAAAGAATTAAGGGCTACGCTTTGCGAGCCTGCAAAATTCAAAAATATTTTACACAATCTAATATTTCTTTTATATTCCAATGCTTTACCAACTTGAAAATTACCAACTTGAAATTTTTTACCAGGACTATGTCATCTCTATCAGTACTATAATGGGATGGTGCAGACTGATGACGAATCGAAACTAAAGACGGAACAAGAGAATTCCTTTGTCGACTTCAAGTCGACTCTAAAAACTCTCTTCTGGGCCGTTTTTTGCATGAGTCCGGTGGAAAGCGCCGATGTGATCATCGAGAATCTTCCCGGCGACAGGGAGTCAGAGACAATAATCAATCATCACACTTTCACAGAGTTTATCGGTTACTTTGCTTTCGCTAGTAAGTGTAGGATCGTTCCATCAATAAATATCGACATTCTATAACATCATTTTGTCATTTATTTCAATAACCTGATTTTTATATCTTATTAGGTTTCCAATTTATCTCCGTAGTAATTGTTTTAAATATGCTAATCGCGTGTATGGCAAATACCTTCACCAAAGTGACTGACAACGTCAATGTAGAATGGATCTTTGGACGAACTGAGGTTTATAAAAATTCTTATGATATTTTTCGATATAAATTTCAAAACAAATTTTTTTTACACGAGCTGATGTGTTATTCAAAGTGAAAAATGAGGTAAATAAGAAGGACGTGTGAAATTTGAAAATAAAAAATTGTAGGCCATTTAGAAATGTCGATATCACATCATGATGTATCGTTCCGCTTTTTCAGGTTTATGTCGATTTCATGCTCACAACGACGCTTCCACCTCCGTTTTGCATTTTTTCGATATTCACGGGTTTGCGGCCAGTGATTGAATACATAAAAATATTATTTAAGCCTCCACCTGGCAAACGAGCGCGCTGGGATTTTGTGAATTGTTGCTATATAGTTAGTGTACTGTTACTTTGATATTGATCTAACATATTCATCGAGTTTGCAGCACAAAACAGAAGCATATGTTTATTTTGTATCGTATAATACTTTCATTTCTTTTCACAGCCTTTGTTTCACATTTCAAAATATTTACTTGTAAATGCATTGTTATGTCGAAATTGATTGACTTATGATTAATAAATAGAAGAGAAAACCGGCAGAAAACTTGCTAAAAATTACATTTAACCGTCTATTTTGTTGCAGGAGGATCTAGAAGAAAAAAAGGATATTCGATTTGCGCAAGTTATGGGGCAATTAGTACAACGTTATCTTCGTCAACTCGAAAGGCAAACGGAGGAAACAGATATGCAAAAATTAAGAAATGAACTGATGGAATTTGGCAACATACTGAAAGAAGCTCTTAGTCCATCTTAAACGATATTTCAACATTTTACACTCATTAATTTTTTAATTCTTATATTATGTGTTATAGGAAACATGACAAAAACTTAATCGCTGTAATAAAGATTAAGTATAGTCTCTAGTTTAGAAAATAAGAAATATATTATCAGCAGGCAAATAAGTAATTTAATTTGACCGCAATTTATTTTATGAATAAGTTGCAATAGTTAAAAGAAAATCGCTATTTAAATAAGATCGCGCTTGATTAAATATTTAAATCGTATCTTTTTAAAAATTTACATTTCTTTAAGATATTATTTCAAGAAGAATAACAAAGTACGCGCGATAAACTTTGCATGCGGACAGAGAAGCCGAGAGAACATTACGCCATAATGCAAAAGCAATTTCCTATATCGAGTGATTATTAATTAAATTTGCATGTAACTTCCGCCGCGTACAGGCGGTGCGGGATGGAGATGCTGAAGACGGATTGACATTTTCAGTGATTGAGGAAAGGAGATTATTTGAGATTGAATTGACAAATCGAGCTTACGACGCGGTGAAAGTTATTTCTGAGAATTTATCCTCTTCCCACTTCGTAATAAATCTGAGCGAAAAAAAAAAACATTTTTATTTTCATATTGTACGCGTTATATCTTTGTAATTTGCATCAAAAGAATCTTTAGAATTACCAGCACGTTTTGACAGCCCTCGTTAATGATTTACGGACGACAATATTGCAATACAATTTACACGCTTTATGCGTTGGACACAACTAACGAAGCGTATTATGTGTGTTACATGTATATTCGCGTACGATCCGCTCGAATAGTCACCGTTAATAAAAGCGATTGTTCAGCAATTTGTGTTACTTGTTTCTATCGCGTAATCTCATATTTTGATTTCATACGACACTGAACGCAAATACCAAATCTGTCAGCAGATACAAATTTTTCGTCAGGCAGTTGATCAACATTTATATATTTTTTATATACTTTTCAATTAAAAATTTATAATTTTAATAAATATATGTATTATTATATAATAAATAACAAGTTTCTAATAAGTTATATTTTCGAGATTTTTTTCAGTGTCAAAATTTGTAAATTTACATCAATATAAATTTTTATGGCTGTTATTTAAACAATTTTGAAGTCTGTTTAAAGTCTGTTTTTTGCAATGCTTTTGACTATTTTTAAGCATAAAAGCATATCGAGTAAGATATGTACGAATAAGATATGTACACGTAAAAAGCACCAGCTATTTTGTCCCCTGATTTTCAGTCACGTAGTTCTAATTCTAATTTTATCCCTCATACTCTGGAGAGACATAACGAAGAATTTTACCTAAGAGAAACTCAATTCAGTCGAAGAGGAAGTGCTGTGACATAGCCAAAAATTGAGAAAAGAAAAGAAAGGAAGTTGCTCCGTTAAGGCAATGACAAATGATATTTGGTAAGAGAAAATCTCACATTGTATTCTGAGTAACGAGACTTCCTTTGTTCGCCATACAACAGTTACCAAGATGAAAAAACTAATGGAAAACTATCAAGAATTTCGACATAATAGTAAATAGTTGTACTTTAGAACCTTAAAATTTAGGATCATTATAGAAAAGAGATTCTTTTTACTAAACATGGACTACTGAATTTATGATATTCCATAATGAAAGGAAATAATCGTAAAACAAGTTCCATAACAAACGAATAGATTGTAACAATTGCTATTCAAAGAACCACATCAACAGCCAACGTTTTGTTGCTCTAACTCAAACTGTGCATCCGCAACCGTACTTTGACAATCTGCTCTCTTACAAAAATATTGCATGATTAAATTTATTAATAAGATCAAGCAAAAAACATATTTATATATATAAGTATATAAAATTATTATATGTTGAACGTTATATTATATATATAAAAATTTATATATTCAAAATTTTTATTCTTAAATACAATACTTCTTCATTTATGCCTCCATATAATTTTCTTTCTTATGCATGTTTATATAATTTATTTTTTTTAAATACTGTAACTTTATGATTTAAAAATAATAAATTACGTACATAATTTGTGCAAGATTTAAAATTTTTTGTTACTTAAATCAGGAGAAAATTTTGTATTTTATTATTTATTTTTATAATTTGTATTGCACTATTTATTTGCACAAATGCAAATAACAACAGTGATTGTCAAAGAACAGTTAATAATTACATAGTAAAAATTGTTGAATAAAAAACCAACAAATAATATCAGTATTTTGTGTAATTATACACAAGTATAATAAATAAATTTACTCACTGGTCGTTGTACTCTAGTTAAGTGCATCTGCAGCTGTATCTGAAAAAAATAATATACAGTTTAATTATTTTGAATCATACATATATATATATATATATATGTATATAAGTTCCAATATGCATATTATTAATTACATATTTTTTACTAACATTTTAATAAAATAGAATATATTCGCAATAAATTGCAAACATAATTATTTAAAAATTTTAATAAATAAATAAATAGCTAATAAAATGTTGCATGCTACAAATTTAACAAATATTTTAAGGTATAATAAAATACTGTGAATAGCTCTCATAATTACACTCACCAACTAGAATATTGCAGTCTATTCCATCCACATTTCATTTCAGATTGCTGCACATCCATCGATTGTTCCAGCTCCATCGAAGAATAAATGAATAAATCATAATTCTGCATTTAATTACTGAAACGAAAATCTAGCTCTAGTACATTTCAAAAATCACAAATTACGTCTCGAATTTATCACATTCAATTATATTAATTTTTAATAGGTTATGTCATCATGAATAATATATGAGAAGTACATAATATTTTAAATCTCTTGAGCAAATATTTTGCATGTATATAATATCAAACTCTGTACTTACTGTAATCAATTGCGAATGGAAAGCAGTTTGCACTAAACGGATGCAGCACTAAACAATCGACGAATCACTGAGAATCGCGAACATTCACGGTAAATATACGTTCCGACGATAATTCACTACAACACTGCTTAATTTCGCCCGAATTAATGCTAACAAGATAAGTTTTCGGTATGCTACGAGACGTAAATATCTAACGAAAATTATACCGCGCGTAAAAAGAGAAAGAGAGAGAACATCGGAATCCACCGGAGCATCTACCGATAATCGCAACTATCCCCAGTATACTTCTTGACAATCGCTCGTCACTTTGATCAACATTCCCGATAATCACGAGCATCCGCGATATACTTTTTGACAATCGCCCGTTACTTTGATCGACACTCCCGATAAAAATTTATACTTGTTATGCACTATTAACGGATGGAATACACAATTAATCGCGAAACATTCCGCGTCCTATCAAACTTACCGTTAAAGATGAAATGGCGGATCGGAAAAAGAAAATACGCAATGCTGACAATATTAATACTTTAAAATTGAAATATATATCACGCCCCCTTTCTACCAACCTACACAAATTTTTATACCACCCGCGAAGAGGGCAGTGCCGATTAGCACTATTACCAATATTGAAATGCAAAAACGCGGCATAAGTAGGAACTATAACGAACGCTAGGTGGCAGATTAGTTCCAAATTGGTAATATTGTTAGTATACCGTTACGCGCGTTTTTTCCGGGTGGCTATTACAGTTTTTACGGAACATTCAAGAAGATACAGAATGCAGACGTTCCGCAAATAATCGTGCATTTTATCTGGTAAATGTGTAGAGTGAGTATAAATTTTGATCAACACTCTCGATAATCGCGATCATCCGCGATATATTTTTTGATAATCGCCCGTCACTTTGATCAACATTCCCGATAATCGCGAACAATCGCGGTATACTTTTTGACAATTGCCCGTCACTTTATCGACACTCTCGATAAAAATTTATATTTGTTATATACTATTAACGGATAAAATACATAATCGCGAAACATTCCGCGTCCTATCAAACTTACCGTTGAAAATGAAATGGCAGACCGAGAAAAGAAAAATACGCAATGCTGACAATATTAATACTTTAAAATTGAAATATATCACGCCCCCTTTCTACCAACCTACGTAAACTTTTATACCACCCGCGAAGAGGGCAGTGCCGATTAGCACTATTACCAATATTGAAGTGCAATAACGCGGCATAAATAGGAACTATAACGAACGATAGGTGGCAGATTAGTTCAAAATTTATAATATTGTAGTGTACCGTTATGATCGTTACGCGCGTTTTTTTCCGGGTGGCCATTACAGTTTTTACGGAACATTTAAGAAGATGCAGAATGCAGACGCTCTGCAAACAATCGTGTATTTATCCGGTAAATGTGTAAAGTGAGTATAAATTTTTATCAGGAATGACGATCAAAGTGACGGACGATTGTCAAAAAGTATCATTTATCGCGGATGTTTGCTATTATTCTTGAATCGCCATGGATAAGAGTAACGTTCCGATGAGTGAGATTCCGATGCTCTTTGTGTGTACAGTATAATTCTCAAACGTTCTCATAGCATGTCGAAAATCCGGCTTTTTAGAATTAATCGAAGTAAAACTAAGCATAGTTATGTTGTGTATGCGTCTATATCTCACGTAAGCTCCGACAAAATCATTCGTCTCGTTTGGGTGAATGCGTGCACAATGTCGAAAAAATCGCCGAATCACGCCGGATGTAGATGCGACAAACCGCGTTTTACTTCGCGTTTGAGTTTATATCGTAACATGGCAAGTTCGCGACGTGAATTCGTGATTTTCGAAAATGAGGTAAAGTGGAAGTGAAGTGAAATGGAAGTGATTGGTTTTCGATTGATAGTGTGCGTTATAAAGTGCCGGAATTCATCGATCAAATTGATGCGGAGCAGTCTAAGGCGGAATCTGCAGCGGACGGAGCAAACTGCAATGCCCGAACTGGTAATTTATTCGTTATTTAAATATGTACATAATTGAGATCAAATGCGGTTATAATAAATGCAGTTATATTTTACATTTATTATGCATTTATTAAAATATTCATTAAAACATTTATTGAATATTTATTACAGTTTTCAAATAATTATTTATGCAATTTATTGCATAGTTATGTTTTAATGAAAATAATGAATAAATAAAATGTAACGTACATAAAATGTATGATATATTTCATAATAATCGACATATATATATTAATATTTTCAGGTACAGCTGAAAGCGTACTTAGCTAGGGCACAACGACCGGTGAGTGAATTTGCTCGTTTATTTTAATAATAAAATATTCATAGGAAGAGAGCAACAGAGTTGAACGTTATCAATTGATATTTAGAATTATCATAGTTTCAATTCTAAATACGTCACGCATTTCCTACGTCGAGAAATTAAAATTTTCTTTACTAAAAGAATTATATATATTATAGTAAAAATGGGTGGAATATATAATAAAAAAAATAATGTTGGTGGGAGGGAAGCAGCTTGTGAGGATGCGCGCCGCGATAGACCGTTCGCCGTCACAGTTTGCACGCGGCTCTCGCGCTGTAAACAACGGTGTAGTAGAGATTTCTCTTATATTAAACAAAAATAGTGTTTTCTCTAATGCCGCTTGCTTCCGACTTGCAATTTCTCAACGACAGTTACAATTTCTATAACGGGAGTATTTGTCGAATTATTTTCAGTTGAAGACATCCAAGTTTCTTATTTCCAAAATTAAATATTTTGTCGTCTAATGAAATCTAATGAATATGATAAATATGAAAGAAGGGACAGTGAGATTGAAGAGAAAACCGTGATTTGCTTAAATATGTATTACGATTGATGAATCGTTAAGTGAGTTGCAAGCAATTCGACGAGAGTTTGAGGATGATTACTGCGTTGTTACGCGGAATCCGACGTTCTTGCTTCGATCAATTTATCGGCATCATGAATCCGATGAATTCGAACTATTTTAGTATTCTGGTGTGGATTACTCAACATCGAGTCGATTTCTAAATGCGATATTAAAGAGGAATAGATTACTGCGTCCAAGATATTGAGAATCAGTGAACCAGGAAGACGTTTTAAAATATCGAAGAACAAAAGCCTGATGGCAAATCAATTTGCCGAGTGCCAGGTGAATAAAAATGAGGTGAAACTCGATGATGCGTACGACATTCTTCGTTTATGTACCGTGCTAAAAGGAAATGAAGAAGGGAGAATCGAGAAATCTCCGATATCATAATAGTATAGGTGAGGGAAAAATCGCGTGGGGCGATTGACCGGTCCTTCCTGTTTTTATAGTCTATGTGTTTTATATATTTTTTTATCGCTCTATACTATCACTAATCTCGAATTATGCTAAGAGTCGTTTATGCTTATCTCAAGCGTGCCTCTTATTTTACTTGAAAAACATAAAAAGCCTATCATTAGATATTTTCTCCGATATAAGTATATATATTAAATGATGCTATTACAGAGCAGAATATTATGCGGTTTCCACAAAGCAATCTCTCTCAGTACCATCAATCTTCTCGATAGATATAACACGAGCTAATGTAAGTGATGCTAAAGTACCTACCTACCGTGAAAACATGAAAGATCTAAAAAAAATTTCGAAATAATTATCTGTTTATAATTTTACATCTGACGTAATCTGCATCGCTGCTTACATCTTTTTTGTGAATTTCAATTACTTTCTTTATTCAATCAATTTTTATTTATAATACGTATATTAGATATACATACTTTGAAATACAGAAAACTCTTCCACATTTAATGCATATATCGTAAAACGCTTATGTCGCAATATGTTATTTTTGATTAAGATAAAATCAGAATATCTATGTAGAAATTATTGTCAGAGGAATATAATGCAATTCTCAATCTCGAATGGAGAATGGCTTGTCGTTTGAGGATGCTTTTATTGCCTCTGGAAGAAGTCTATATTTATGAGGAGATTCAGCAGTTTTGCGAGGGAGGAGGACTCGAGTAAGGGAATAATCGGAAGTTCTCTCTCGTAAAGCTCTCTCACGTAATGTCTCCCATATAGAGAACTCTGCGTGTCTTGACGTAATGAAGATATTGAATCCCCTTGCGATTTCTAAAACATTTCTACATACTGAGGAAACAGCTTTATAGCACGCCGCTAATGCATATTTTTATTCAATAGTAATATCGTTAATCTCCATTAAAAATCATAATCATGATATAGGACTTTAGTTAAACTAAAACTAAAAAGACAAAAGATTTATATATAGACTCTCTAAATAATAATCATGAAATGAGTAATTTTTACACATTTTGCAATTTCAAATTTGCATTCTATTTTTTTATGAAGTTTTCGGATTTTTTGTTTACAATTTTTGGTTTCCGGATTTTTTACACGCTTCGGCTGCAAGAAATTGTTGAAATTTACTTATAATAAATTTTTTTAGTTTTTTTATGTTTCTGCCTTGGTATCGGATAAATAGTAAAAACGCACGTTTGTAAATACAGACTAATTGCTCTTTCTGATTCTATTATCCGTTGTTGATTTTACACAAATAACATAAATAAAGGACTGATGAATATAATACGCGGCAATGAATTAATTAGAAATCAGATAAAGGAGTAGTGAAGGTGTGCGCATCGATGTAACAACAAACTGTGTGTTTGTTTGTGAAGATGTACATATCGCGGGATACGCAGACAAAACGGTAAACAAACAAAACCGATAACACTTCGTACGTTCAACCGGTGCGCGGAGTCCGCCGTTTGTATGCGATATAACTATTCTCAGCAGAAGCAAGTAGCCAATCAAATAACAATAATCCATCTCTCGGTTGCGGGATGTTTTCCAATATTGGTATTCTCAGAAATAACCGGATAAAGAAAATCGTATAAAACACACACGAAGCAGGCAGTCCGCTTGTGTCGTTGCAATTCTTTTATCTATTAATTAGAATTCTTGAAAGAAGACGCAAAATAAAAAAATGTTAAATATTGAAATATTTCGGAATGAATATACTAGGTGCGCAACTAAGTTTCCGGGTTTTTTTATCAATGCAAAATGGAAAATTTCAAGAGAAATACAAAAAACGGTTTATTCAAAATATCGTCCCTCGCTAGCTACACATTTTTGCCATCTCTCTGGCAATACATGAATACCGCGACGATAAAACGACGCGTCTTTGAATCGAAACCATTCATCCAACCAGTTCTGCACTTCTTCGAAATTGGCCAAGTGTAGCCCAGCCAAGCCATGCGCCATCGACCGGAACAAGTGATAATCGGAAGGGGCCAGGTCTGGTGAATACAGCGGGTGCGGTAGCAGATCCCATTTCAGCGTTTTGATGGTGTCCTGGACGATGGAAGTGCGATGGCACGGAGCGTTGTCGTGCTGCAATATTACTCGTTCGTGTCTCGTGTCCCATTCTGGCCGTTTTTCGAGCAATGCATGGTTCAAATTTATCAGTTGTTGTTGTCTTGTGTTTGCGTATCATTTTCATCCAATAACGCTTGCAGATCGGCGTCCTCAAATGTTTTTGGTCTTCCGGAGCGCTCCTTGTCCTCAGTGTCGAAATCGCCACTTCTGAAGCGTTTAAACCAATCTTTACAGGTAGTTTTCGATGGTGCATGTTTGCCGTAGGCTTTCTTAAGCAAACGACCTGCTTCAGCTGCATTTTCTTTCAAGTTGAAGCAGAAAAGCAAAGCTTCCCGCAAATGCTGTTTAGTTGGCACAAAACTCGACATCTTTATTGTTAGAAAAAAAATTTTTGCGTTGCGATATGTGTTGGTATTATAACTGGTTATTGTTGACAGATGTCCAAGTTAATAAAAAAACACAACTTTAGACATGTATATCGACTACATGTATCGTTAGCGCCATTCATGTGTGAAACCCGGAAACTTAGTTGCGCACCTAGTACTTTAAAAACCTATCAAAAAAGTAAAAACAAAAATTATTTAAAGTTCTAATCAAGCTCTAAAAGTCGAGTAGTTCGATTTTATACAGTTTTTATCGAACCATTTTGTGCCTAAATTG